TGTAAGACATTTTGTTCTGACTGAAGGTTTCAATTTTATTGTGGTATTTTAGAATCTGTCTGTTATGGTGATCACATTTTCTGATACCTATTATTTTATGTCGCATTTTCGTTTTAGTCTTGGGAAGAATCAGGTAAAGATTGCACTGCTACTCATGCCTTAAATCCTTGTGTTTTTCTGATACATTCCTGTGGTGTTGTCATCAGAGGAAACCCAGCATTCATTGTTCATTCTCAATAACTATTGTGAGTCACTTTCTTTTTTGGTGCAGCCTGTGTGCCCAATGTACTCCCACAGTGCTGTCAGAAGGAATTTGAGGATTTTAAACTCGCTAGTTTATCCCAAATTAAACAATCAATCACATTTTTGAGGATCTGTTCTGGGAAGTGGGTAAGATTGGGCACATTAGGTAAGTTACCTTCCTAAATCACATTAGTCATTTAGATGTGTTTTGCAATAACCCGGGTATTTCACAGGCACTATGAAATAGGATCCTAGATTTAACCTTCCAGATTTATTTCATTCACTGAGTTTTAAACTCATCCAGACGTTGTAGTGGGATTTGATCTCACCTCCTCAGGTCATAGAATTTATGGTTACATTTTGTCATTTTGTGAAAACTCTCTGTTTGAACAATTCCCCTAGTTCCGCTCCCCTGCCCTTTTACTACAGCTCCACAATGGTTTTGTTTTTGGCAAGTTATCTAATTCTCTTTTGAAAACCATAATTGAATCTGCCTCCTCCACACTCTCAGGCAGTTCGTTGCAGGTTATAATGAGTCACTGCAAAATGTTTTATTTCATGTTGGTTTTCCATTATTTGCCAATCACCTTAAATAAATGCCCTCTGGACCTTGACCATCCCCCACCTATGGGAAGCATTTTTTCCCATCTCCTCTGCTCCATGATTGTGTTCATACCTTGCACAAATCCCTTCTTAGCCTTTTCTGAGGAGAACAGTCCCAGCTTCTCCAATGTATCCTGATAACTGAAGTTCTTCGTTCCTCTCAGGATCATTGTTGTGAATTGTTGCTGTAATCTTTCCAATGCTTTCAAATTTTTCCTCATGTGTGGTGCCCAGAATTGGATAAAATATCTAACTGAGGCCAAACCAGTCCTAATTATATAGGTTCATCATCGCCTCGTTCTGTTTGTATTCACTGCCACAGCCTAACTGATGGGTTTGATGACTTGTAGAATATATGGCCCTCTGCCCCGGTCCACTCCATTTGGAATTGTATCCTTTATTTCATATTGCCCCTGCATTTTCTTCCTAGCTAAGATGCCTCAGTGACACTCAGTGTATGGGGGGAATCCTTTACTTCATTTGGAGTCAGTACACATGAGACCTTTCCCCCAGTTTGAGTCAGCAATCATGGAACCTTTACTCCAATTACAATCAGTGGACGTGGGACCTTTAGCTCAGGGAATCTGTACATGTGGGACACTTATCCCAATTAGATAGCTGGAGCACAAGCACTCATCCCTGCAATATCCCACGAGTCACTGCCTAACACTCATAAAATGACCGTTTATTCCTACTCTTTGTTTATGCACCAACCAGTTCTCTATCCATGTCAGGACACTATCAGTACCATGCACTTTAATTCCATATGCTAATCTCTTATGTGGGACCTTATCATAATCTTCAGCCAGTCCAATTAAACCACATCCACAGGGTCCCCCTTATCAACGCTGTTAAACTTGGAAAATTTGTCAAGCTTGATTTCCCTTTCAGAAACACATGCAGATTCTGCCCAATCCTGTCAATGTTTTCCCTTTGGCCTTGTGGTTCTTCAGTCGAACCTCTCTTTGATCGGATGATCGCTTGCAATCCTGGCTTCTTAGAAAATCTTGTTGTGACATGCTGTGCGTTGAGACACCTCTATATTCATCTAAACCATTTTGTGGAGCTAAAAATATACTTCTCAGACGTATTTCTTATGGTCTTATGATCTTACGTTTTCTTATTTATTTTCTGATTAATAAGTAATGATGATTCATTCAAGAAAACCTTGGAATTAGTTCTCCTTCAATTTTATCCAGTTTGTTACATTTGAAATGAAGTGTGACAGCTGCATACTAAAAGAAAAATGATGTTATTTGTTGTGATTAACCATGACATGGTTAAAAAGAGGGGAGCTGATACATTCTCCTCACCTCGTTGAAATATATTTTAGCTGGTCCAGCTCCTATTAGAACCCCATTGAAACAAGCTTTATTAAGCGCAACTCTATTCCTTTGTTTAGATTACAGATTTGGAAGAAGGTATAGCCTTGATCAATTTAGTCATTGATGTCCAACAAACAGTGTCCTAGAGATTCTGGTTTGGATCCAGCAAACTGTACACTGATACCTATCCCGGATGCTGTGAGTATTACAATGTTAACCATTAATTGCTCTGGTGTAGTTAAACCTTACTACACTTGAAGCTTTAGTGTGACAACACAATGACCTACCGTGGAACATTAGAAATTTCATGTTCTGTTGATTGATATTTCTCATTGGCCTGCATACAGTAGAAACTGACGAAGCATCTATCTCTGTCTAAGCTTCAGGGAGAGAGTTTTGGAAAACAATGCTGTCAACATGGAACAATGTCTCCTCCAAAAATCTTCTCATCCAGTACTGGATGTTGGATAATCAGTCTTATAATTTAACAATAGAAGAGTCAAGAGAGGTTGTGGTCAGGTCGAGCTGGGTGCCATCAGTGAACTTGTGAAAACCAAAACTGCACTTTTGAATGATGTTGCCAAAAAGGCAGCATGCAGATGAGAAATAGGCGACAATAGAGACAACGGATAAATGCTTGGGAAGCAACAGAGGTAAATGTGCAGGAGCTGGAAGAGAAGTCATTGCAAATGATTCTTTGGCTATTATGAGAGAATCAGGTGAGAACAGTCCCACCCAAGTGGATAACAGTGGAGAGGCATTGAAGGTCAGATTGTGTGGTCAACCATGTCATAGGCAGCTGGCAGGTTGAGAAGGATGAGAATGTTAAATTTACCCATGGCACTGCCACATAGGAACATATTCTTCGTTCCCAACTCTGCTTCATCTACCTGCTGTCCTTCAGCAACATTATGCAAAGACTCAGTGACAAATTCAAACATGTCTGCTGATCACACCCAGCTCTAAGCTCACCATCATGTCTCAGAACCTGTAATTATCTCTGTGCGGTCAACCTACTAGACCACCAGTCGAGCTTGGATGAGTTATTATTTCATTCAGTTCTACACTGTGAAGGTGGATGGTGTTGTTTTTACTATCCTTCAGCCTTACCAATGATTCCATCTCACTTCCCTGCCACTGAAACTGCTCTCACTGATTCCATGCTCCTCATTCAAAACTCCTACCTACATTCTATTTTGTACTAATTCTCCCCTTGCCTATCATCTCCTGAGGCTACAAATAGAAAGGTATCATAGGCTATGATGTGACTGGAGATATGTTGCAATAGGGAGGGCTTCAGAAGACATTAAATGCAGTTCTGCAGGATGTCGGACCTGTTCAAGATTGTCAGGTTACAACTGTACAGAGCTGGGATCACTGTGCTTGTGGGCATGTTAACAAGTGGTTGGGGAATGGAAGGTGACATAATTCAGCAGGGAGTAGATATACTAATAAAAATGAGAAATACGATGCACATTGTAGTGGGAGCTAAAGGTGGGATAATATAGAATTAGTTGAGATAGAAAGTGTAATGAGGCTTAATTTGAAGTGCATCTTTGTCAATGCACATAATGTGTATCATAAGATTGATAAGCTGTAGGTATAAATAGTGATGTGGAACCATAATGCAGTGCTGATAACTGTGACCTGGCTCAAAAAGGACAGAATTGATCCTCAGTTTTCCTGGGTGCAAAATATTCCTAGAAATAATAATAGGAGGATGATGGCAGTTTGATTAAGGACATTTGGAAGAATTCATGTCGTAAAGAGTCAAATGCAAAGCGTATTTGACTGGAGTTAAGAAAATACAAAGGAGCGAATGCTCTAATTGGTGGTAAGGAAGGAGAGGAACAGATTTATAAGGAAGTTGTTAAGAGTTATTAAAATTAGGACGCTGATAAATAGGAGACTTTAGACAATACTTTTCCTGACAAATAAGGCATTGATGGGTTCAGCCTTTTGGAATGAAATTAGTGCTTTGAAGAGTGTAATAGTGAGGGAGCATCTCAGGAATAATGATTATTGTGTCAGAAAGTTTCCATCGGTTATGGATAAAATTTATTGGAGGAGGGCTACTTCGAGTGAATTGAGAAAGGGTCAGAGTCTGATGTAAGAAAGTCAAGGTGGAAACAGGTCTTGGGATTAGAGAGTAGAATGAAGCAGTAAAAAGATGCATTCAAAAGATATCATCATGATGATAAAAGTGAGAATCAGGCTGAATATAAAAAGTATAGTGAAGTGATAAAAGAAATCACAGGGGCAAGAAAGCAATACAAGACTAGATAACAGCCAACATGAATGGGAATCTAAAAGTCTTCCTGTAGTCATATATAAAAAATGAAAAGATTGTCAGGGAGTGGAATGGAGCTAAATAGAAATTAAAGTGGAGATATAATAGTGGAATCAAAAAACGTGATGCTAAATGAATATTTTCAGTTGGTGTCTATCAAGGAGGAATTGTCGTTCTCTCTGTAATAATTACCTAGCGCCAGTCACTCTTACACTCTCTTTCTTTCCCTCTCTCTATTACAATTGCCATCAGTGTCTTACTGTGTAATAATTATCTGGTGACATACACTGTCTCTCTCTCTCTCTCTGTTCCTGTCTCACTCTCACTCTGTTTCTCTCTCTCTCTGTAATAAATGCCTGATGTCAGTCCCTCTCCCCCTCTGCAGACACTTGTCTGCAATAATCCAAAGGTAATAGTCATAATAATTACTTGATGTCAATTCCTTTCCTTATGCAATGTATATCTCCTGCCGCTCTCTCTTTCTCTCTCTCTCTCTCTCTAAATCACTCAATATCCATCTTTCTTTCTATAATTATTGCCTGGAATCAGTCTCTCTCCCTATGTAATGAATATCTGTTGTCAGTCCTCTCCCTCTCTGTCGTAATTATCTGGATCAGGATATTTTCTCCCGGCTTGGGAGCGTAGAGTCAGGATATCTGGTTCCACAAATGTGACTTGGGAGGAAATGTCTGGGAAAGTTGGCTCTATGTTCTGGGTACAGGGTCCCTGGGAGGTGGACCAGATGACTTTCGAGGAAGAGTTTACGTGCCAACTGCACTGGTGGGCTGGGTGGAAGATCTGCTGTGTCCATCCTGGGCCTCCTCCAGTGACACAACAATGCCACCCGAAGGCTGCAGGGACAGCACCTTTTAATTAGCTTGGAAACCCTGTAGCCCAATGGTCTCAATGTGGAATTCACAAGCTTCAAAATCTCCCTACCCCCGACCTCATCCCAAAACCAGCCCAGCTCGTCCCTGCCTCCTTGCCCTGTCCATCTTTTCTCCCACCTATCCGCTCCTCCCACCTCACTGACCAAACCCCACCCCCACCTCCTACCTACCAGCCTCATCTCCGCCTCCTTGACCTGTCCATCTTCCCTTGACTGACCAAACCCCATCCTAACTCCCCACCTACATACACCTTTACTGGCTCCATCCCCGCCTCCTTGACCTGTCCATCTCCTCTCCACCTATCTGCTCCTTTATCCACCTTCCATCCGCCTCTCCCCTTCCCTCTATTTATATCAGAATCCCCTTCCCCTCCCCCACTTCTGAAGAAGGGTCCAGACCTGAAACATCAGCTTTCTTGCTCCTCTGATGCTGCTTGACCTGCTGTGTTCATCCAGCTCCACACTGCGTTGTCTCAGATCTGCTGTGGTGTTCTAGCACTGCAGTGAAGTTCAACAAAAAACTAACACATCATCTATATTGTCCCTCTTAATTACAGACTCTATTCATGCCAAACCATGGTTACACTGAACCTCAATGGCCCTCCATTTGTCCCATTTCAAACTTTGACGCCACACCAATTATCCCTCATAGACTCAATGCCAACCATGTCATCTACCCAACTTCCTTGGACCCTCATATCCTCATGCAAACTTCTGCCTTTCCACCCACCCATTGCCCTTCATAATCTTAATGCCAACCCAGATCATTCTTACCACTCCCGTAGCTCGTCTATACCAACCTACGCCCCTCCATTCCTTCAACATGATCTTTTATATCACCTATTTCATCTTAGGACCAAATCATGTCAATGCATGCCCCTCCCACCCACTACACTTTGCTATTACACATCATGTCAATGCTGCTGGTTTCCAGCATCTTGTGGATGCAGGCCTCAAGACCCATGCAGAAGTTAGATAAAATCAGGCTATAACTTTATATTGCATATTTTGCAGTATTTAAAAAAAAATCCTATCTAGCATTTACTATCTTTACATTGCTTTATACGAGCAAACATTTCACTGAAGTGCAGGATCCCTTAAAATATGCGCTGAATTTCATTCACAATTCCACTTCAGAGAGTTTATAACCACCTGTAGCTATCGATCAACTGTGAAAGTTCAGCCACCCACTGTGACAATGGACGTTGTGAAATTCAGTCACGCAGCAGTAATCAAGTAACGAAAGTCCGAAGACAAATGTTAACAGATGGACTGAAATGGCAAGCAATCATTTTAACACATTTTTTTCAAAGATTTAATAGACAGGATGTGTAACACTGAAAAATTAACATTCCCTCTGAAAGATCATGCAGACACATTTGCCAGATCCCTTTGTAAGGTCTCCTTTGGACAAGTGCTTTTAATACATTTGACTGTTGATGTTGAAAGATTGCGTTGAGAGTTCTAGTGAGCTTGAAAGTAATGAGCTGGTTCACTTGTAATACACATTTAGGTGTAATTTACTAGACCAATACCAAAGATGTCTGGGATTGTATCCAAAGTGGTGCTTTACCTCACCAAAGGGGTACTCCAGCTACCTAAAAAAACGTACAGAGTTCAGGTGTGCTCTTGCCAGGACTAAGTTGCACGCTTTAAGTTTCATTTCCCAAGGCTATCAAAGCTGCAGCTGATGAATTAAATGAATAGCTGCCTCCAACAAATGGTATGCACAAAATGTGCTCAACCCCTATTTCAGGCCTCACAAAGATGGAAGTGCGGTGTTAGTGATGTGATTGTGGGCCTTATGATTGTCAGAAACTACCACGATTTTAGCAATGGATAGACTCTGTGACATAGCAAAAATCGAGACCCTGGTGTTAATCTTGCTTTCTCTCTCTCTTTCTCTCTCTCTCCCCCTCTAATAATTACTCAGTGTCAACGTCTCTCTCTTTCTCTAATGATTAACTGTTGTCAATTTCTCTCTCTCCCCACAGTAGTAGTTACTGGGTATCACCTCTCTTACTCTCTCTCTCTGTATAAATTATCTGGTGTCAATCTTTCAATCCTCAAAGCTAATAATTTTCTGGTTACCACCTCTCCCTCTTTGTAATCACCATTTGCCATCCGTCTCTGGCTATCCTCTATATGTTACCTGGTGACATTCTTAATTTCCACCGCCCTGCCGGGTGTGGGAACAGAGACTCGTATATGAGGAATGCTGAAGGTTGGATGAGGGTGTGGGGTGGGAGGTTGCACCTGTGCTCATGATGGTTCTTAAGTCTTCTGCATGAAGTTATCCTATTCCTCTGTCAAGCTGCAGGCATTCCCAAGACCTGGGTCCAAGCCAGGTTAAAATCTAAGCTTTCCACTCTACTTAGGATATTAAAAATGACAACTCGTGAAGGGTGAACTAAACTGTCACCTGCACCTAATTCCAACTGTGTTCCCATGTTGAAATTCCCCTCCAACCATACCTCTTTCTGTAGGAATGGCTGAAGATCCCTACCTCCATGTCCGTGCCTTCAGGTGATTCTACCACATCTTGCAGATGCTTCCACATTTACAGCTTTTACTGTATCAAAATTTGCCAACTGTTGCAGCAATAGATGCAATCTAACACTGAGTAAGGGAAGAGTTAGGTGACCAAAGCTGTCTAAGGAGAATAACTTCTGATTGTGATGCAGCCAGGCAAGTTGATGGAGCCATATGCTTGGCCTAAAATCATCTCGCCAGTTTGAGCTCTGGAAAATGGGTTGGAGCTTCCTAAAGCAAGGAAGCACTGCAAGGTGGTTCGAGGGTTAGGGATTCCAGATACTGAGGGTCCTGAATAACTACAGCCCTACATAATTCACAATTGCCCTTCAATCTATTTCCTCTCTTCCATTGGCCAATGATCATAAACTGAGCATGGAGGCTATGGCCAACTTCTGCTTTCAATGGATTTAAGGTCCTGTTTCCATATTAAGAATGACCATCTGCCCACAATGGATAGTTGTCATCAGCACTCAGTGAAAGGTTTCTTTTAAAATGGAGCCATCGTGAGCAGGAGTGGAATTATATTTTCTGAAGAAGGATCCCGACCTGAAACGTCAGCTTTCCTGCTCTTCTGACACTGCCTGACCCGCTACATTCCTCCAGCTCCACACTGTGTTACCTCAGACTCCAGCATCGGCAGTTCTTACTATCTCTGAGTAGAATTATATTTATGCTTCACTCGTCCAACATGATTGAGCCCAGTAACCAACACTGGTTTATTGAAAATTGCACCAATGTCTAACTTGAAACCTGTTTCCATTTACTGTACAGTGGTTTTAAATACTGAAATAAATGGTGCAAAATTCCACAAAGAAGCCTCAATCTGCTCAGTGAATTAATTGTTTTGACTGATTGAGGGTCACTGTCACTCAGGGCTTTCAAACAGTATATAACTGTTCCATCAATTCTACATTATAAATTCACATACTGAAGCATTCCCTGACAGAAGTTTCAACAGGAACAAAAATTTAAAGGAGAGAATACTGACTTCATGGTGTGTCAGAGCAGGGGTCCACAGACTATAATTAGGTTGTGGCTACAATATAGTAAAGGCACTTTTACATTAAATATTTAGCAATATTTTGCTGAAGACTGCTGTTCTGATCCATCTGCTCTTTCGTTCTTTACACAGCCCTTTCTACTGCTTTAACAATGATGGGACTAGATGAAAATGGCAACATGGTCAGCATAGACATGGTGGGCTGAAGGGCCTGTTCCGGTTCTATACTGTTCTATGCTTAATACTGATTATCAGAATGCAACAGCGTTCTTGACACCTGAATTGTCAGTGTGTTAACAACAGGAAACTGGTGGGCGACAGTCCTATGTATGATCGGCAAGTTATCGTTTGGGAGTCAGCTGTCATTCCCAATTAAACATTCCAGAGACAGCAGTGAAAATCAGGGAGCAGAAAACGGATAATGTGGATTCAGTCTCTCACACTGAGCAGCTTGAAAACTCTCCCTCACGGTAGAACAGTCACAATATCATCTTAATATACAGTGCAACATTGAACATGATGATAAAACAGTGTCCTGTGCTAATACTACTCCTTGATGTTTGCAGCATCTTGGCAAGTAGGTTTATGACCCCTGGTTCGATATTCCACTGTTGATGCCCTCTCACTATGACTGAATTATAACCTCAGCCATTTGTATTTGTAGAAAACTGCCACCTGCACAGCTATGGTTACATTTGAACGTGGCCAGGGTCCAACCGTTCAACTACAGTGCAGGAACACTAACATAACAACGCCAATGCCAACATCTATTCCAACTGCAGCATCATCACAGTCGACACCAACATCCTCAACTCCAACAACCACATCAACAACAACAACAACAACCAAATCACCACTATGCTCTTCCCCAGAAAGCAGTGAATCTTCATCAGAAAGCAGTGAACCTTCATTGGAATGCTGCAGAAAGGTAAATCACTGAAATTGTTTCGGAACTCAATGTTTAAAGGAAATAAGGACTTGCAAAGCCCTGAATATCTGTGTAGAAATAATGTGTAACAATTACCGATTTTCAGTTCAAAAGATTTTGGAAACTACTTTTGATTATTTTGTGTGCTACTTGTGCGTAAACTCTGCTGACATCCCATGCTGCTCATCAGAACTCAGTGTTTTGGATTTTTGGATCTTTTGGATTTTTTGCTGTAGCATTGAACAAGATATGACTGATCTTCTCAACCCCGGCTTAGCACCCAATTTCCAAAGCATTGATTCCCTTAGTGTACAGAAGTCTATCAATTTTATCTCGAATATCACAGAAGGACTGCATATATAAAGGATCTTTCACAGCTCTCGGACATCTCTAAGTGTTTTGCAGCCAATGAATGATTTTGCAGAGTACTGACCATATTAATATAGGAAACATTGCAACTGGTTTTCACACAGTGAAATACCTCAAACATCTATAAGACCCATTAATCTGCTTTTGTGATGTTGGCTTACAAATAAGAAATGCCAGGAGTCTGTAGAGAGCTCCCCTCATCACCATGGAAATAATGCCATTGGATCTGACATGACCAGCTGAGGGGCCAGACAGTGTTACAACCAGAGGCCAGATAAGGTCCCCCATGTTATTCTGGTTCTACTCAGGATACCACAAATTGTCAGGGTCCTGCATGAGGAGAGATGGGCAGAAGGAAATGACTTCTGCCATTTCAGCACTGCCATGATAACGGGACATTGAAATGTTCTGCAGTTGACTTCCCTCTTTGTCCCTTCTTCAGTCTGCTCCCTGATGGAAAGGATGACTCTTTAACATGGGCCTGAAATCTAAATACAGCATTGCCCAAACCAATCCTCACATTGAGAGTGAAGCAACTCACGGTAACATCAAAGCCTGACTGTCCACCCCACTGTTGCCTTTTTAAATCTGCTGAGACTCTGTCAGCATGACTTCACAAATTCA